TATATATATAGTCATGGCTCAGGCAGCCCTAAAGTTAAAGAATACCTGGCCATGCACTTGCCTAGCATGTACAAGGCCCTGGGTTCTATCCTCAGCACTGGAAAAAATAAAATAATGTCTGTAAAAAGTACCAGGCCAAGATAAAAATTGTTTTTTAAATGTTGCTTGATTTTTTTCATTCTGCACACATTTATCTCTACTGTGCACTAGGTTCTATGCAAGGAGTATTGGAAATAAGCACAGTTTGTGTCGCTATAACCTAGTGCAAGTAAGCTGTGAATGAGCTCTAATGTGCAGCATTGAGGGAGAAGTCTCTAATCCAGCCTGTGGAGTTCAGGGTGGGTGTAGTCACTGAAGAGAAATGAAGTCAGCTCAGGGAAAACCTCCTCTCCTGGAAAAGGTGAAAAGGGAATGGATACCTGAACCAGCCTCAAATGAGTGAGATGGAGGAAAGGAGTGCATGAGTCACTCACGAAACTGAAAATCAGATGGGGGAATTCGGTACAAATAGAGCCAGGGCATGATGGACTATCAGTGGAGTTAGGAATGGTTTTAGTTGGGGAGTTGTATATATGTGTTTTATGTAGGTTATAAATGTTTGTTGTGGGAAAATCAGAAAATACAAGCTGAAACAAAAAGCATATGTATCAGATACACCTTACTGATATTTTTTCTTTTATCCATTTTCCACAATTAGGTCTTTCTACCAACTTGCTTATTTTTTATGGTGAAAAAAATTGTATTTAGAATTAACCAAGTAGACTCGATTTAGCTGATCCCAGTTTTGTTGGAAATATTCAAAGCATCATAGTCAGGAGCCAGACATGTCTTCTCTCATCAGGCCTGAATGGGATGTTGGCCTTGGCCACATAGGTGTCACAGAGCTTCTTTAAACCTATTTGATCTGGTGTTGGTCAGCCTTGGCATCCACAGTGAACACAGCTCTGTTGTTTTCTGACTTCTACATGGCTGACTCGTTGGTCTCAGTGTTCTTGGTGATCACCTGCCCTGCGCCTAGTAGAAGAAAGTATGTGCCCCTTTTGGAGACCAAGGGCAGGAGAGCCTGGCTGTATCAGATGATATGGTAGCAATTGTAATTTTTTTTTTCTTTTCTATTTGTTATAATAGCTTTTAAAAAATTATATATTTACATCATCATTTTTATTAACTGCATAATTTTAGTCGTTTTAACTATTCCATAATTCCTATGCATTGAATGAAGATGATTTTTTTTTTGTTTTTTGGTACCAGGGATTGAACCCAGGACCTTGCACTTGTGAGGCAGGCGCCAGAACCACTGAGCTAAATCCTCAGCCCAAGATGATTATTTTTATTATGAGAAATATACATATAGTTTATACATTTTTAAAGATAAATTCCAAAAATTTGAATTAATTTCAAACAGCACATACATTTTCTAATAGTCAAGTTCCACTAGGAGAGTATACCCAATATAATGTATTAGCATTCTTCCTAATCTTTTCCCTGATGTAGTAAATGAAAACAAATATTAGTTTTAATTTTCATTTCTTTGGTTACTGGTAAAGTTGGATATTGTTTGAATACTATCTTGTATAAATTGACTATATTGTTTGATTTTTTATTAAGGTGTTCGTTTTTTTCTTGATAATTTTTAACAGCTTTTATAAAGAATAACATTTGTGATATATTACAGTTTTTCATTATCATTTGCCTTTTCAGTCTTCAAAATGGTCTATTAATCTTTTACTTGAATAATTTCTTTGCCTGCCTTAGGCTTCCTTATTCTCATGAGGACTATACAAATAGTCATCTGTATTTTTTCTACTTTTATGGTTTAATTTTTTACATTGGAGTATTCAGTAATAGCTCTGAATTACATCAGGTGTATCAGTGTATTTGAGATGCCTTATCATATGTAAATCCTTTCAAACTTAGTTCCATTTCAGTACTGTTTCATTGACTTCTTTCTTATAAGAATTGATTTTTTTTTTTTTTGGTACCAGGATCGAATTCAGGACCTTGTGCTTGCAAGGCAGGAGCCAGAACCACTGAGCTAAATCCCAGGCCCTCTTATAAAGACAACAATACATTGTTTTGCTTTACTGTTAATTTATTGTGGTACTGGGGATTGAACCCCAAGCCTTTACACTGAACTACATCCCCAGGCCTTTAAAAACAATTCTTTTTTTTTTTTGAGACAGGGTCTCGCTAAGGAAGAGATAGATAGCACCCAGTAGTTGAGGGTTTGAATTTTAGTTCTGTATCTTAAGTGAAGGTTTCCAGTAGCAAGTTGGATTTATGGATCCCGGAATTTAGACCTATAAGATAGGATTTGGAGGAAACCATAGAGATATAGAGTAAGTAACATGGACCTCAGAGAAGAAGGGATTTATATAAAAAGATGAAGAAATAATTATCTGAAAGTAGAAATGGAACACAGGAAAATGCTACTCTGTCTGCTGCTATGATACATGAGTTCCACAACTTCCACTTCCACAGTGGAGTGAGGAAACTGGAACTTTACTCTGAACGTGCTTCAAAACAAACATAGGTGTACGTTAAGCCCTGGGGTAGAGTTAAAAGATTTGATCAACCAGATTCTTGTTTAGGAATGGAAAGTGGGGATTCATGCAGCTTAATATTCAGAAATTGGTGTGTCCGTTCAGCCTGTGGTGTCCACACTGACTTCCTTCTAGCCAAGAGTTAGCCCCACCCCGCTCCAACCTTAACTATACTTCAGTTCCAGACTGCTGATCTTCCTTAAAGCTTTTGTTTTGTCATGGTATAGAACAGTGGTAGTGAAGCTATGGAACATGTACCGCAGCCGGCTGTTTGTTATCATTGAAAGCTCTGAAAGGTTCACCATCACTGGTATAGAATCTTGATTTTTATCATTAGGTATACATATTGCCAAAGTGTTTGTCCTCATGAGATACAGTAAATATGCCTTCACCCAGAATACTAGTACAAATTTTGACTAGGCTAGGGTGATGTAGGCATCCAAAGACCCAACTATGCTTTAATGTCATTCCTTTCTGGTGACCCTGTTAGCACCATCAGCTTAGAAGAGAGCTTCACCTGATTTTCTTTGCTGATTTTTTAAACACCACTTTCCCCTGTGGGGGAGATATAGAAAGAGCCTCTGTGTGTGTGTGTGTTTTGATAAAATTTATCTAAATTTGTCTTCCTGCTCCTCCAACACAGAAGCTGTGTCCAGTTAAGTCTACTTAGTCACTCACATATTCTAGTTTAGTCCTTCTTCATTATGAGAACACAAGCTTCAGTAAAAAATTAGCTAAATGGATGCACATTGAGGCAATACTCTTAAGTGAAATAAATAGGACACACGTGTAAATGCCAAATAGTTTCTCTGGTGTGAGAAACTGAAAGTGTAAATAAGGATCAAAATGTATAATAGATAATGTGAAATAGGAAAGTTGCAAAGGGGAAGGAGAAGTGGGAGGGGTAAGAGAAAAGAAAGAGAGGAATAGAATAAATATGAGCAAAGGAGGGGCCAGGGAGTTAGCTCAGTGGTTCCACCACCTGCCTTGCAAGCTCAAGGTCCCGAGTTTGATCCCCGGTACCAAAATATATATATGAAAAGGAAAAAATGGAAACAAAGTTTTTGTAAATGGGGGGGGGGGGGTTGACAGGAGGGTAGAGGAGTGGGGAAAAAATAAGAATCAAGATATATTACGTAAAGGTACAAATCTCCAGTGATGAATGTCATTATGTTGTATACCTAAAATGTACCAATAAAATTAATTTAAAAATAATAAAACTCTACCATTTAAGGGTATAATCTCCAAAATGTATAAAATAAAACTACTGTATATTATTGCATAGAATGTATTGCAAGTATTTAAAAAGTAGGAATTCTCATTTTACTGCTGCTGCTTTAACTGTGAGGATTGCTCTCCTCACTAAATGTTACTGGTTAAAGGATATGTGAGGTTCCAAACAGCAATATGTAGCATCAGTGGTGGTTATATTTGCAACTCTCGGGTATAGCAGCAACATCTGTCTTGGTGGGAGTTCAGAGCATCCTCACATGTACTGATGTAACTGAACCTGAAATTGCTTTTACATGATATTGTATTTTATGTTCCAGGGAACAAATAACATGTTTGTCATAAGACAGTGGGAAATCTTAGGATTAATGGTAATAACCCACTTAATGCTAGTAATAATGACTGCCTACTGTCATCCCAATAATTTGCTGTACCTAAGGGCCTGAAGCCAAGTGCAAGGGTTAGTGTACCTCTTTGCTGCATCTGTTAAGTAAGGAAGCTGCAGTTGGCAAGGTTACAACGGGCAGGAGTTTTGAGATTTGAGCTGCTGTGCTCAGACTCTGGGTATTAACTCTTAATATCACACTAACCTCTTTTGGTTCCCTCCATTCAACACCTTGTTTTTTTATTTTAATTTTATTTTTAACATATTGCTTTCTAGTTGTCAGTAAATCTACAAAATCTGTCTTACAGGAACAAGTGGTGATGAATTTGGACAGCAGGCTTCTGATCTTCCCTTTGTATATCTGCTGTAACTTCTTGTATATGTCACCAGAAAAAAGAACTGAAAATAATCATCACCCAGAAAATCCAGAAAACTGAGGATCTCCCATTGGAAACAGCAGCACTTTGAAAACTTTTTAGGCTCGTTTTTACGGCCCTACTGATATTCATGTCTAAGGTGACTAATAATGACACAGGCCTTATGAACTGTACAGACAATACAGAAGATGTTTCTTACCCTCATTACATTTCTATGCATATGTGCAAAAGAATTTTAAAGCCAAGAAAATATCTGTCAAACCATGCAAGTTGTCATCTCATGCTTTTAATTTAGCATTAGAAGAAAATTGCTGTAGGTGAATTTCACATTCTTTGCAACAGAATACATAAGCTTAAGTTTTGATCCTGCCTAATGTTAGTGAATTTCATCTATCTGTGAATTTATTTTTAATTTGCTAAAAAGAATGCTAAAGGGATTATTTGAATGGCCAACTATAAATGTTCTTTCAATTGGTGCCTTTAAAGCTGTCTTTTAATCTTTTCAAGTGCTCATTTTTATTCCTCCATTTAGTCCAGTATTTTTCCAGTCTATATTTGTTTTTTTTGTTTTTGGGGGATTTTTGAGGGGTTTTTTTGTTTTGTTTTGGTACCAGTCTATATTTGTTTGGGGTTTTTTTGGTTTTTTTTTTTTTTTTTTTTTTTTTTTTTTTTTTGGTACCAGGGATCGAACTCTGGACCTTGCTCTTGCGAGGCAGGCGGCAGAACCACTGAGCTAAATCCCCGGCCCTATATTTGTTTTTAATCATTAAATACTTTTGTCACGGTTTTGGATGACTAAGCTGAGGAACATTTATTTTTTAACTTAAGCATTTTCATGTTTATTTTCGAATTTAGCTTTCTTAGGCTTTTAAAAACAACAACAAAAATCAGCTTTAGACCTTCAAATGAACTCGACCAGGGAAAAATCAGTTTGATTTGAAGACATTCCTTTGCCTTACATGGTCTTGTCTTTGACATTCTGTATACCTTTATTATTAGGTTATGAATTATTTATGTACCAAATATTAGACTTTTAAATATTTTCATGTTCTCTGATCTTTAGAATTATTTATGTTAAAATTTTAATTGGAAATCCCATTGCCTACTTAAGCTCAGGACTTTATAACCTCAGAATGGAGTGCCTTTGAGTTCTACATGCTAATAGAAATTTCATAGTAACTGTACATGAGGTTGGAGGATCTAATATTGAAGCTGATAATAAAAGCATTAATGTAAAAACAGAACTTATTTTTGTCAAACATGAGATGTATGCTTGTCATGATTTACGTATGTTGGCCTCTTGTGTTTATTGCTATTTTGAGACATGCCCACTTTCCTTCCAGTCAGAGTAAGTACTTTTGTGGTTAATGTATATTTTTAGTATGTTTCTAAAAATGGGAATCATTTTTATGTATCTCTGCAAATAATAAATGCCCATTTGGAAAAAGAATAAATTAGCTCTTATTTAAAATGGACCAAAAACCAATCCCTAGCATCACACACACACAAAAAAACCAAACCAGATAAAATGGACAAAAAGAAAAAATCAAAACCAGAATTTTTTTTCACTTTCTAGTTAGATTTTTTCCCCGTTTTCAGCTTTTTCAATTTATTGACAGTTTTTCTTTCCCAGTATGTGTTCTTATATCATCATAGGTCTTTCATTGCTTTTGTCCTTTCAGAATTCATAAAGGAGTGTGCATGTTTTTGTTTGTTCATTTGTTTGTTTGAGACAAGGTCTTACTGTTGTAGTTCAGGATGGCCTTGAACTTATATGTAACCCAGGCTGGCCTCAAACTTAAAGCAATCCTCCTGCCTCAGGCTCCTGAATGCTGGGATTACAGGTGTGCACTATCACTCTCAACAAAATGATTCTAATACAGTGACTTGGCTCTATCAAGAGACTACAGCATAAGCAATTCTTTACCCTTTACACATTAAAAAACATAAATATCAAATTTAAGTTGAATTATTCAAATTTTCATAAATCTTAGAAGATAAAATTTGAGTATACTAATGAAGAAAAGTAATTATTTTGTTTCACTTACATAAATTGACCAAATTGATATTATATATAGTTCCTGTCCATTAGGTATTTCCTGGTCAAGTTGCTTATGATTTCTATAGACAGGATAATTATTTCTTCTGTTAAGAGTAGATTATGGCCAGGGATGTAGCTCAGTGGCACAGCACCTGTCTGGCAAGCATGAGGTCCTGAGTTTGATCCCTGGCACCAAAAAAAAAAAAGTAGATTATATTCTCATTTGAGCAGTTGATAATTATTAGCTACTACTACATCTTGGTAGTAAAGAATCTGCTGTTTTCCTAGCACATACTTTTATGTGTTTATATGAGTATACTGTTCTCTTTGATAGGAATATTTCCAATAAAGTGTTCATAATACCAGCTGATGTATCATATAAATTTGTACATAGAAGCTTTTGTATTACCCTGTACCAATTTTTCTGTTTTCTATTGCTGAGACTTGAAAACAATTGTTGACTTTTCTTGTTGCTGAGTCAAAATATGCAACACCTAAAGTTAAAAGAGGAAAAGTTTATTTCAGCTCATTTTGTAGAGGTTTTAGTCTATAGTCGGCTGGCTCCAAGGCAGGATGGCATGGCAGAAGGGTAGCACAGAGGATAAACAGTGCATGGCCTGGCAGGGCCAGCAGAAGGCAGCAAAAAGGAAGTAGCAGAGCAGCAGCAGCAGAAACTGCTCCCTTTTATCCCTTCCAGGCTACCTGCTTTTCATGTGGTGCCACCCATAACCAGGGTGGGCCTTCCTATTAGCCATACCCAGAGCTATGCTAGACCAATCAGTGGACTAGTTGGGTAATCACATACCCTTAATCCATATTCACACAATTTAATCCCAGCATCACACACCCTAGATCCAGCCACCTCCCAAAACTCCACCTATAAGCTCCTGAGGGTTTAGGGGGCCATGTAGACACAAACCATAACAATATTTATTCATTAATAATTATTTTTGCTTGTATTTTTTTCTTGGTACCGGGGATCGAACTTGGGACCTTGAGCTTTCAAGATAGGCGGCAGCACCACTGAGCTAAATCCCCAGCCCTTGCTTGTCTATTAGTAAAGAAGTTCTTAAAAAAATATGTTGTAGAGGTTCACACTGAATTATTAAAGAGGGATATAAATACACCTTTCCTTTTTTAGTGAATTTGGCTTGAAAGGCAAAATTACAAAAAACAGTGGTACTCATGAGCATTTTTTTTTTTCAGGACAAGAATACTCAGGGCCTTTGCACTGAGCTACATGCCAAGCCCTTTTTAAAATGTTTTATTTTGAGCCAGGTGGTCACAAAGTTCCCCAGGCTGAGCTTGAACTTGAGATCCTCCTGCCTCATGCTGGGATTACAGACATGAGCTACTACATCCAGGTAGTCACTAACTTTTTTAGCAACTATTCAGCAGCTAACATTTTATCTCATTTCAGATCTTTTGATAGGATTGCCATCACAGATGAGCAGTTTTCACCATCAAATGCAAAAGTGAGGTTAGCAGGGTATATAAATTCCATTCTATTCATTCATTTTTTTTTTAATAGTACTGGAGATTGAACTTTGGGCTTCATGCATGCAAGGCATGCATGCATGTCCTACCACCAAGCTCACAGGACTGGATGTGATTGTTTTTTATTCCTTTTTAACATTTAAAATTGACCGTTTTGTTCTTAAAAATTAGTAGCCTTCAGGCGGGGGATTTAGCTCAGTGGTTTCGCCACCTGCTGCACAAGCGCAAGGACCAGAGTTCGATCCCCAGTATCAAAAAAAAAAAAAATTAGCAGCCTTCTCTTAAACTCTGACATCAGTCTTTGTTTCTTTCTTTTTTGTTGTTTTTATTTTTGTTTTTGTTTTTTGAGACAGGGTCTTGCTTTGTAGTTCAGGCTGGTGCTGAAATCATTATGTAGCCCAGGCTAGCCTCAGACTCATAGCAATCCTCCTGCCTCTGCCTTCTTAGTGCTGGGATTACAGACCTGCACCACCACACCTGGCTCAGTCTTTGATTTCTATATTTCTGGTAACTACTTCTTTGGTTACTCTGGTAACTTTCTTCTCTGGGGGTTCTTCCTCAGAATGTCTCCAAGCCTTTTTCTGTCTTAAGCCTGTTCTGGTTCATTTCATGAACTCTCATGGCTTCAAAGGAGCACCTGGCTTGACAATGTAATATGCGCCTCTAATCCTAGATACTTGGGAGCTAGGTAGGGAGGCTGAGACAGGAAGACCAAGAATTTGAGGCCAATTTAGGCAACTTTAGTAAGATCCTATGTCAAATAAAGGCCTGGGGATGTAACTCAGTGGTCTTCTCTGGGTTTAATCCCCAGTACCACACACACACACACACACACACACACATACACACTCACACAATTCTGATGGTTTCCTCTTTCCAACCTACATCTCTCTTCCAACCTCCAGATATACATCTAGTTGGCTTCTCTTCATGGGTGTTCAAAGTGGCATTTCACATTAGTAGCCAGCATGGACACATCTGCTTTCCCCAGGATTTGTCTTGTTTGCCTCATTTCAAGAAATGATGCTACTCCCTACCCAATTGGCCAAGACAGCAACCTAGTGTCATTCTTGAATTTTCTACCTCATGCTCTGCATCCAGAAATGAAGTTCTGATTCTGCCAAGTATATTTCAAATGCAGACACCTTTCACCTTGCCCATTGCTGCAATTCTACTACAGGCCATTGTAATTTCCACCTGCTATGGTTTGTCCCCTGAAGATCGTATGTTGGAAACTTAATCTCCAAGGCAACAGTGCCGAGAAGTGTGACCTTTAAAAGATTAATCTTGAGAGCAGAGCTCTTAAAAACGGATTAGTGCCATTACTGCAGGAATGGCCTCCTGTCCTTTTCTGTGTCACTGTCCTGCCACATGATCCTTCTGCCTATCATGATGCAAGATGGCCCTTGCCAAATGTCAGTACCTTGAAAATGGACTTCCCAGCCTCCTGGACTGTGAGAAGTTTCTCAGTTTCTGGTGTTTGGTTCATAATTACACAAATCAGATACCAACTGAGATGACTGTACTGGCCTCACATGTGTTTCCTCCTCTAAGTCTCTATCTTGCCCAGAGCGTTCTCTGAATAGACTCAAATCTCACTCTCCCATCCTTAGAATTCCCCCCATTTGCCTTCAGGATAACCCAGGGATTATGGCCTTGGCTTAATCTCTCACCTGCCTCTTGCCTCTGCATGCAGCATCTTCTGCCTGGACAACTTTAACCCCTCTCCTCACCATAAACAGTACCCCGTGTCATCTGGCTTGTTTCTACTCATATGGAAGGTTTTATTTGGACACTATTTCCTCCTGGAACCTTTTCTTAGTAATCTTTCCCCTCCAAACCAGCTAGATCTTCATTGAATTTGCCTTCCTAACACCCTGTTCTCTGCTGCTGTTTCACACTATGGACTTGTCTGTATTCTTAACTGGATGACAACCCAGTCAA